CCACCATGTTATCGTTTCCCCAGATGGCGTTGCGTTTGGTCCATCTGGATTCGTCCATCTTGGCAAAGCAGCCAGCCAATTTCCACTTTGCCTGGAGTTGGTTGTCTATCACTCTGGCCTTTCTCGCCTTATCCTCTGCGATCTTGGTGGCTCTGCGCATCCATGTTTTGTGCGTAATGCTCGTCAGGTCTCCTGCCTGGCCCGACCATGCGCCATAGCATCGATCTCTGCGTGCTTCTAAGCTTCTTTTTGGTGGCACCGTCAATTTCCATGACTTGCTGCACCAGGGCACGGTATTCTGTATTGTCGCGTGGACAAGTCGGAGGCGTTTCTGTTCTGAGTTGTCCTCTCGCGAAGGACAACGGCCATACTTGAAAACTTGGCCCATCCCGCTCGCATTTGCACGTCGACCTCGGCCCAGGTTTTCCTAGTCAGTGCGATTCTCGCACTGATCACTTTGAAGCCATCGCCGCGAATGCATACTGGGCGCGTGGTTCCACCGACTGTCACGCGGGTGCCAGCAGGGACTGTCTTCACACAGCGCTGCACGGTGTATTTGTCTACTTTCAAGTTCAAGCGGATGCCTGCCAACTCTTCTCACACAGACCCGAGAATCATAGACAGTGTTTGCCTTGATCATGCGATCAAGGTTGCGTCGTCCGCGCGCGCTCCGTATGTGAGCTCGCGGTTCCACCTCTCGTCGTTCCCGACGGCAGTTCCGTAATTCTTCCGTTCCCATTCCGTTTTGGGAGCGCCCATCGTTTTTCGGAGTACATTCGCAAAAAGCGTTGGTGCGGCTTCTCGGGCGGCACCCGTGCGGCTTCTCGGGCGGGCTGCGCCCCCTCCCTGAAAATGCATTGCAATCTTGGGCGTGCGCCATTCTCGGGTTGACTTGGCGTGTCCGTTTCAAAAGCCTGCTAACTCCGTCCGCAATGCATCATGCGCGTCGTTTCCGCTGTCTTTTAACATCTCAGCTCTGATGCCATCTTCTGCGCAAGCTGGTCTTTTTCCATTTTGCGAAAACAAGCTTCGATGTATTTCGCACAATTGCCGTCGTAATCGGATTTTCTGGTCTCGTCGCGGCGCTGCGCGATTTAGGAGCATTGCGCCACGATTCGCAAGAATGTTCAACACATTCGGCAACATTCGGCACACTTCAGGGGACGCAGGCATGAGGGCGGAAACATCGACCCTCATCGCTCTTTTGTTTGCACACTCCGACTGGCGACACTTGTTACGCTTGTCATGCCGCGATGGTCAGCAGTCTCTTACAATGCATTTACTCTCTCTCTCTTTCTCTCGACCTGGGGCACTTATCCAGCATGAGTTCCAGCATTCATCATTTATTGGACTGCGAAGCATTAAAACCAGCGCATGGGAGGACGACCCTTCTGATGCGACGCAAGTGGTTGGATCTCACGTATTTTACCATTTCCCTTGGAAGCCAGGGTCCAGTTTCTTCAGACAGTCTTCCAGATGTGCTCTCGGGATTCGACCCAATGCGTTCCAGAAGGGAAGCGCTCGTAAAATCGAAGGCCCCCCCGGCGCACTTTTTCTCAGGGCCGGTGCCCTACACGCTGTACGTGGAGATGCGGCGTTCTGCCTGATAGTGGCCTACTTCGAGCCGCGCCCCTCCTCGACTCGCGCACGGCAGCGCAGTGCGAAGCTTGCCAAGTGGCTCCGCAATGTGTTGCAGTTTCTTCCTCACCGGGTTCTTCCAGTCCTACTAACTGATGCGAACGCCCACATGTGCGCGCGACATTTGGATGACACCGCGGCCGGGCCTTTCTCCATGCGCAGTGATAGCCGCATGGGCAAATTATTTCATGATCTTCTACTCGATCAGCACATGTCCGCAGTCAATACAATCTATGACGCTGGATGTACATATCATTCACCATTGTCATCTACTATTATCGATTATGTCTGCCTTTCTGATGCACTCCGCCCGCAGGTTGCCCGGCGCTGCATTCTCAACTCGTCTGGCCGCAGACTACAAGCAATTGCAGCACCTGGGAAGCGAGACCATTATCCAGCGCAGGTGGTATTCGACTACGGTCTTACGTATTGTGCCTCCCACACGGCCAACAAAGCCGTCGATTGGAGTCGAAGCAAACTCGCTTCCGGCTTTCTGCACGCTACTCACCGAACTGAATTTCTTTCTGTTTTGGAGGCGAAGTGCGCCGACGATGCGAATTCGAATGTTTTGGCTACGCCGGAACGGTATTGTGCAGATCTGAATGAGGCTGTCATCGGCTGCGCCACACCGTGGTATTCTTCAAAGCCCTTCAGCCGCACAGAGGAGTCAAGGGGCACTTTCGAGATCGCCAGACAAATGTGCCAAGCTTGCAGTGACCTTTCTCACTTCAACCCCCCGGACAACGCCCTATCGCTACGAGTTCAGACAGATGCTGTTCAGCCCCGCGATCTTGCCATTATTATTCGTGCGTGGTTTTTGGAGGGGCGATTTTTTCGCCTTTGACGTCGGCATGACGATCTACGCAAGCGGAACAACCGAGACTGGCAGGCAAATAGAATTTCTGAGTTCAACCATGCCTGGGACGTCCGCGACTTTCGTCATATGTATCGCATTGGTCGGAGTCTGGCCAAACGTCACTTGGGGCCCAAGCGGCGCCGTTGCGACTCCCCCCTGTGTTCCAACCCCAGTTGCGATGCATGGATCGCGCATGTGCCTCTTTCTAGAGCTGATGGCGGCAGCAACGCTCAGCCGATTGATGTTGCAGCATGGTATGCTCGTGCGTGTGAGGGCCCGTATACCGTCTGCCGATTCCACGCCCCTGACAAATTTGCTCACGATTTGGTTTTGAGAGATTTTGCAGCAATGCCACGCCTTGTTCATGGACCTCGTCTTCGCAAATCTTCACCATCATGGGCTGCCCCAGGTGGTATGTGGCGGCGGGTATTTTGTCCAGAGTATCATCAGGCAAAGGTTCGATATGGTGTGGTTTACACCGCCCACCGACTTCCCATCCCTCAAGATGCGATTGTATCACATGTTCTTCCTCATCCGCAAACACAGCACCGTTCCGACGGCACGGCGCCATTCACAGACTTTCAAGATCGACAGACAGAACAACAAACCCAAGTACAAAGCTGCGCGGCTGGTCAACAGTTTGGATTCCCTGGGTAAGGCTTACTACAAATACTTATGGTCCCGGTCTACACCACAAGGTGCCCACTCTTACGCATCCGGGTGCGCCAAGAACCGCTCTCGGATTGAAGCCATCGTGCAACGGGGCGCGGTGGGCTGGAGGCTTCGCCGTGCCAAGATGCCGCATGGATCTGCGTGTTTCGACGCTGCCAATGCGCACCCTTCACCACCTCATTGCGATCTTGCCCGCGCCGTTCATCAAGCTGCCGACCCGCGCGACGCCGATTTATTATTACAACGCTTTCAGTATTCATGCATGGGTATTGATGCTGCCGATGGGGTTGCACGCGCAAGGCCGGGCTCGGGCGTTCTTCAAGGGGGCGCGTATTCGGCGGAGATGTTCAGTGAGGTGCACCACCCTCGATTGGATTTTTTGGGCTCCGCAGTGCGACAGCCGCCATTGCAGGCCCGACGCCCGTGCATCCCCGACCGCGCGCGCAATCTCGCGATGACATCCTACGCCGACGACGTCGCCAGAAAGATCATCTGCGGGTCTTTTTCGCAACTATCGTAACACAGTGGATCGTATCAACAATTCTTTCGACAATGCCATCCCCCCTCTTTGCCATCACCGGGACAAACAAGAACGCGAATTTCATTCACATGAGCGCCACCCCCGCCAATAGATGCACCGAGCTTCCAAGCGCCAAGAACTTCCTGGAAGAACGACTCCTGCTGCCCGTTACCGTGGGGGCCGAGTTCGTTGCGCGGGGGGTCATAAGCCGATCGCAATTGTGCTCAGGCATGCAAGGCGTGGCGTACATGTCGCAAGGTGTGGTTCAACGCGGGCAGTTCTTACAATGTTTCAGGCTCTAGCGTGCCCGACGTGTTTGTTGCGTCCTTCGGCCGCAAGTTGCTGTGCCATAGGGTCTGCGCGAAGGAGGTCCTCCCAGATGGCGCTGTTCGTTTCAAGAGCATCCCGAACACAGAGGCGCGGGAGAAACTTGAAGTTCCAGCTTGCGACGTTGAGCTTCGAGTTCGACGACTCAAGTGGCATCGAGAGCTGTTGCGCCGACCGAATTTACATTGGAATTATCAGAGCACTGCTTGGCAAGCTTCCATTGGAGACTGCGCATGCTATACCTCCTGGTGGTCAATTGGGTCAACTTGCCAACCCTTGGGCGAGACAGTTTTGGCGCGATATTCTAGCACTGGCGCCCTACGACGACGCGCGCTCCCTCATGGGCGCCTTGACGACCGGCCCACGTCATTGTTCCAGGGTTGATGTGTCGGTCTTGCGCGCCGACGCCCGTGCTGTTCGGATACCGCCGCCGGAGTTCCAGCCCCATGCCGATCCCCCTCCACCGCCACCTCCTTGCCCTGAAGATCATGTGTTCCCGTGCGTGCGCAGGCGTTTACTAGATTACGGCGCGGCATGCAACGCAGGTTTCCATGCGCGCAAAGAGCTTACAGCGCATGTCTCGCATGCTCGTTCTGGTGCTCATGGCACTGCGGCCCCTGCGCGCGCGGCCGCTGCATCTAATGCGCGCGCGGTGCCGGCGCGTGTATAAGAACGTGCAAACGGTGAAAGCTCACGCGCGGTCCTATCTATCACAAGGTCATTGTGTTGGACGTGGTCGCAGTACGCATGTGCAGCCAGCATCTTACACATGTATGATTTGTATACAATGCGGGCAGCGATTCGGCACCATGGACGCATTGCTGGATCACGCCATTACCCATTTTCCTGCCCCCCCAGCTGCGCCATCGTGACATGCAGGCCCAAAGACTTGCAAGAGGGGCGATTTCGTCGCAACGCGCTGCCTCTGCCTCAACAACAGTTTCGTCTTCTTTGGAGCCTCTGGGGACGGGGGCCTTCCTCGGGCAGATGCGCGGCAATCATGCCGGACAGGGCGGCGCCGCCAAAGTGAGAGGCGCATCTGCAGGCGACTCGCGCGACGACCTCGCGCTGCGCTTGCTGGCCGTCGCATCGCAGCTCACCTTGAAGCGCGCCCTCGAGATCCGCGAGCTGCAGGCCGCCACCTTCCGCGTCAGTCTTCTGCCGGCGAGTGCTCCAGCGGTGCAGGCCATGAAGTCTGCGACAGCGCCGTTCGCCGAGGGGCCCCGCGCCGCTGCCGCCAGGAAAGGAACGGCGCCGGCCGGCGAGCCCCACGCCCACGCATGGGCGGCATGGGCGATGAACGCGGTGACCACGAATGCCCTGTAGGAGCAGCAGATGAAGCTTCTGTCGACGCACGCGACTGCTATGAACACTCCCGACCACCTTCTCCCACACATCTGCGTCTGCAAGGTCAAGAAGACGTTCGACAAAGGCCATGTGAAGGTTTATCTCGCTACCAAGTCGACTCCAGACTGCTCGACGCTGGCGGGCGCCGCCATCGGCCACCTCCTCAAGCAGGGCGGCAAGGAGAAGACGGGCCAGGCCCCGCGCGGCGGCAACGAACGCCCCCTCCAGACTTTGCACGATCAGCTGAAGGAGGTCGTCGGCGACAAGAGCAGCATGACAGATGTGGAAAGGTGACCGGGTCCTGCGCCATTTTGGTCGTGTATGTTCGTTCCCAGCTCGCGGTGGTAGACGTGCAGTTTCTGGGGGCTGGTCGCATAGCGTATTCGGCGATGGGTTTCTGAGTAGTTAGTAGACGTGGAGTCTTCAGATGCTGTGTTTTGAAATGCGCCGGAATTGTCGAAACAATCCGGCTGTTTTTAAAAAAGGCCGATCCCGTCGTAACGCTTTGCCCCCCCCATCCCCCCCCCCCCCCCTTTCCCTTCGTCGCGGCGCGACGGGCTCGTCGCCGACGTCTGCCCAGGGACCGCGGAGCTGCCGCCCGACAGTGGCGGAATGTGAATTCAAGCTGTTTGAGGCGAAGTCTGAACGACGTCTTCCCCCTTTTACCTGTTATACTTCGCAGCGCCAGTCCCCTGATCTCCGAGTCGGTCTCGCGCAGGGGCTTGCCCCAGGAGGCCCGCTCGCAGGTTGTAGGGGCGTCGCGCCGTAGCATCGCTGGCGCGCGCGGAGTGCGCCGCGACGCTGATCGAGAGCGCATGCTGATCATGAGCCGCGCTCGCCCGAGTAGGGATCCCTCTCGCACAGGTGGCCCAGTCCAGTCCAGTCTCTGACTGTGCGAGGGCGCCTTTGGTCATCAATGATTCGTGCTATCTTGCTTTGGACCCGTGGGTGTGGCTGGGCAGCTGGGAGCTTCGTGGCAGAGCCTGCGGCAATGAACTCGTCAAGTCGGTGGTTCCGTTATTCCCGTAAATTTCGTCGCGCGGCACGATTCGAGAGGATTGCGTCGTGTTTCCGCTCATCTGCATTCTTCGCATCGTTACATAATTATGGGAGGATATTGGTGTCTTCTACATGGCCCGTTGCCCTGAGCGGCGGTTTCGCCGGCGCCCCACACCCCGTCGCTTCTTGAACAGTTGCGTGCGTCAAAGGTGCGACGACTTGTGCATCCTCCAACAAGTCGCGTTGAACTTGATGATGCTACTCTTTGCGACCTTGCAAATTCCATCCCCGGCCAAGATGTTTTGATGTTCGCTTCTTCTTTGCATTCGGGTGGGTGCCAAGTTCAGCCCAAACCGCCGTATGATCTGTGCTGCGCATGAAATCCGTAATAAGCGTGTTGTTTTTTACTTCTGACCCTAGGCATCTGTCCGCCAATATGTATATGTATATATATATATACACACACTGTGTTGTTTCCCCCAATGTTCCACATCTGTTGTGTCAAATTGTCGCTGGGCCCCTTTTGGACGAAAGTGTTTGCTGCTGGGAAGCCACGCGCGTCCAGCCACGTCAACGAAGTCATGGCCAAGCTGCGCGGTCACCAGTTCGGGCAAGTTGTTTCCGATCGGTATGGCGAACCTTTTTTCCAATGCAGCGTGGCGCCCAGCAGGGTGACCCCATGGGCCCTAGCCTGTTCAACGCCGCCCCTGAAGATGTGATGCGCAAGCTCAAGAATCAATGGCGGGCGAAGTGGTTCGGAGTGGTCGGATGGCGCCTTCCGGACAAAAGTGACGCTTGCCGGCGATGTTATCATTGGGGGCGACAGGGGCGCAAGTCTAGCATGCGTTGGGGGACCTCAGCCACGCGGCCATTGAAGTTGGGCTGAAGCTTCATAGAGGGAGGACGAGGATCCTTTCCAACGTGCACAATCTTACAGGCGTTCTTCGGCTGTCGCACGTGAAGGTGGGCGAGGGAGATGTTGAGGTCCTTCCCACATGAGTCTGGCACTGCATATCTCGGCCGGTTCGCGTGCTTCGACGAGTGCCACAACGCCTAAATATCACGCCAGCTGGATAAAGGGTTGTGAGCTTTCGGTACATTCAGAAGAGCTTCGTGCGACAAGGTGCACTCTCTTGCGTCTCGGCCGAAGCTTGTCGACGCTGTTGTCACCTCCACAGTTTTATACGCCGGCGGCTGCCGGACCATGAAGCAGCTGCAAGTCGAACATTTTCGGATGCTGGCGCAAATTGTCGCAACCCCAGCATTGCGTTTGAGTCAGCCCACCGAGGAGGAGCTAGAGCCGCGGGTGGACTGGGCGGTGCCTGCCACGCACACATGAACAGGCCGTGTATGAATTGGCCAGATTCAAATCATGGGTCGCGTTGCAGCAACGTCGCACAATTGCTCTCCTGGAGAAGATCGATAGTTCTACATGGAAGGTGGTGACAGAACTTTCTTCAGCGGCATCCTATTGGCCGTCGGCCGCAAGGACGCCCGCGCAAAAGGTGGAAATAATGAGAGCAAGGTCGGTTCCTCAGGCAATCTTGCGCGCTGCATTCTCCAGTGCCCAGCAGCCCTCTTAAGGGCGCGGACTCCCGCGCTCCGGTCTTGGTTCGCTCGCTCCAGCCGCGTCAGAAATTGATGCCCCGCATCCAAACAAGCCGACGCTCTCTGGATTGTCATTTTCAGATTGTTGCGCCAACGCAGCGTGCGCATCCATTCCTACGCCGGTTCGTCGTGCTCCCGTTGCGCAGGCATCGCAGCCCAGAGCATTTCCAGCGACGATTCGCAATCTGCACGCGAACGGCCCGCGCGCGGCAGATGGGCCAAAGTTGTGCCCCATGTCCCCTGCGCCCCAGAAGTGCCGGCATGCCCAGCGCGACCGCCGGCAACGGCGCCAACAGCTCCGAACTCTCGCGCGATGATACATCAACATGCCCCTACTTCTTGGCCTGCCCCCGCATGCCGCAGCGCGCCGCAAGTGACACCCCATGATTAGGTCTTTGCACTGTGACTCCCGGCGCGGGCCCTCTTGCGCCAGAACCCCGCCAGATTCAGCGCCGCAGCTGGGCAAGTCGCGGACGTTTCTTCGCTCGAGCCGGCCGCGTCCTAGGAATCAGCGCGCGCCGCGCGGCGCCCGGCGCTGGCGCCAGAGCGCTGCGGTTTTATGCCGCGCAGCGCTGCCGCGGGGCAGATCCTCATCGCAGCGCGCGTTCTTGCTGCGGCCTCTTTTTGATCGAATGCTCGTTCCATTGCCAATGTGTGGCTTGATTGGCTGCGCCATTCTATGCTGCGGCATTGTTCCCGGGGGTCGTCGAGGATCGCCATTCGTTGCCATCTCGCATTTCCGCGCTTCCATGTTCGATTGAACTCCCCCTTCAATATCCAAAGCCACCCTTGTGCATTGGGCCCAACCCCCCGCCTCCCAAGCAACGCGCTCGCCTTCGACGCCCGCGCCCCACGGGGGTCGTCGCGCGTTGACATCGGCCGGGCAGCGCCCGCGCGCCCGCGCCCGCGACTTCGATGCACTTCTGGCGCCCCCCCCAAAAGAGATATTCAAAGTTGCCGCCCCCGCGCGCCAGCGCGCGCGTGCGCGCTCTTCTGCTGCCCGATGTCCACCGCCATCTCTGCCTAGGCGGTCGGCCGATCATGCGCACCTGGTGGGCGCAGACGCTGGCCCTCGGGCCGCGCGCCCGCGACGCCGCGCGGAGGCGGGCGTGCGAGGCGCCGCGCTGCCGCGGACTCCCCAGCCCACGCCTGGAGCTGCAGGCGAGCCAGTTCGAGCATGCGGAATTGCTCGGACAGGTGACGTCGGCCGCGGACTTCGCCGCGGAGGAGGCGCGGGTTCCGTTGAGGGAGTCCGTCGGACAGGCAGCGGGCAAGGAACCGCCGCAGGAGCGGTCGCGGGCGCCGCGCGGCAGCCCCGCGCAATCCACGCAGGAGGAGCCGCGGCGAGCCTTCTCTGCCGCGTGCGATCGAGAGTCGCGCGAGGCCGCTCTGCCGGCAGGGCCCCGCGCGCCAGCGGGGGCCCGCCGCTCGCAGAAGCGCCGCGCCGCCGCCTCGGAGCGTCGCGGCGAGCCGCGGGCCCGAGGGCGGGCTCGCTAGAGGCCTCGCCTGCCCCGGCTGTTCGGCGAGATGGCGGCGCCCGGGGCGGCGCGGCCCCGCGCGGCTGCGGGCCGCGCGCGCCTCGACGCAGCGAGGCCGCGCGCGCGCGGGCGAGGCGATGCGCCGGCGTTTCCCGCGCGCGCGCGGCACCCCGCGGCCGGAGGCGGTCGCGCACTTCATCGCTCACTTTGCGGGCCGACGGTGCCCAGCCAGGCTCTCCGCGCCGCGGCCTGGACGGAGCGCGCGGCGGGCTTCGACCCGAGCGCGCGGCTCTCCGCTCGGCGAGGGGTCCAACAGGTCGTTGGGGACGCAGCGAGGCTCCTCGGCGCCGGCGCGGCCCCGGCGACGAGGGCGGCCCGATTCGCTGGCGCGTTCGTCGGGGCCCTGGAGCAGCTGGTCGCGGACGACAGCCTCGCGAATTATCTGCGCGGGGCGTCGTGGATGCGCCTCTTCAAAGTCTGGGCTGCGCTGCGCCGCGACGGCCGCGGTTGGCCCCCACTTCGGCGCCTCGCCATCGCGGGCCGCGGTTGGACGGCCGCGCCGGCGCGCGCTGGAAGCAGCGGCGCAGGGCGCAAAATGCCGGGGCTGTCCCTGGCGGCGCTCCACGAACGCTGCATCTGGGGCCCGTCGCAGAGACGAGCTTCCGCCCGAGGCAGGATATCGCGGACTTCGAGGGGGAACGCACCTTGCCGCGGCGTGGCGACGCCAGCCAGGAGGCACGTGGTCTGCAAGCCCGCCGGATGCGCCGCCGAGGCGGCGGCGGCGGGCCAGGGCCCGCTAGGCCCCAGAGGACGTCGGCGCCGACCTTGGCGGGAGAGATAGCGGGGCCCGCCTTCCCCGAGGAGGTCGCGGGCTTCTGGGCGGAGCGCGCGGGGCGGGCGACGGCCCCGTCGGCCTCGGCGGCGACGAGGGCCCCGAAGAGCGAGCGCGACTGGGCAGGCGGTCGCCAGCAGGCGGACGCTTGCGCGAGGGCGCCCGTCATCCACAGGTTCCAGCTGCAGTTCGCAGCGGCGCTGCGCTCGGGCAAGGCCTCCGCGGGGCTGGGCGAGGCAGCGGCCATCTTGGACTTGGCGAACTGACCGGCGTCGAGAGGGAACTCCGCTGGGCGCGCGGCGACGGGCGTCGCGGCCGAGACCACCGCGGCGCCGGGCGGGCGTCCGCGGCGCCCGGGGGCGACGCGGAAACG